CCATGACCCTAAGAGATGACAAGGGTCATTTTTAAAAGCAAGTTCCCATCTCAAGCCAATCTAAAACCCAGCTGGGTCTATACTGCATGAGAACTTACCCCACAGGTACCAAATCTGCACTATGGCTCCAAGAAAGCAACGTTTAAACAATAGGAAAGAGAAGATGAAGAGTTTCCTATTGGACTCAGAGCCAGTATTTGGAGGCAGATGTCTTTCTCCCGGGAAAAATCGTGGTCTTTCATGTCACTATTGCCACATCAACTTACAAAGCCCATGCACGTGTCATCTCCATTTAATCCTCCCCCTGCACTGGTAAACTGGGCAGGGACAGGCTTATTCCCCTCCTTCAGATGTGAGAGTTGAGCGTCAGGTCATCTGGAGAACCAAGATGCCTCCCCCCTCGGCACAGGGGGCCCTTGGAGACTAACTGCCTCTTTCTTGAGTTACCTTCATGCTGTAAAGCAAGGAGGCGCACATTCTGTAGCAGAGCCTGGGTCTCCCTGACTTCTGCTTCGTAACGTGAATTTAGAGCTTCGCTTTAAAAAATCACCTGACTGTATTTGCTGCAAGTTTTCTCAGCCACTAAGTATAGAGCCAGGACGCAGACCTGCCTATCCTGGAAGCCTGTCCTGCGCTTTTCCTGCCAAGCAGCCAGGTCTCCCCACCCTGGACCTCCATGCCCTGGCTCTCCTGCTGCTTTCAGAACAGTCCCTGGAAACACAGACCTACTATACAAGTGACATCAAGGGGCTGACGGTGCCGGCTGTGAAGACTCAAGGCGCTGGCCGTGTAGGGCATACTGAGGCGCAGGGGCTAAAGGATCCACCGCCGCAGCCCTAAGATGCAGCCCCAAGATGCGTCCCAGGGACGTGCTCCTTGGTGGCCCCCTACCCCCCTCGCCATCCCCCTCTGCTACCTGTCTGCGGTGCAGGAAGATCCTCTGGGATAAAGTTAGGGGGGCGCCCCAGCCCCTCGCAGGCCACGCACCCCTCTTTGTGCAGGAGCCCTGGCAGGGCCACCTGTTGTTAATCTAGCCCTGGTAATCCATTCTGCACTGTGTCAGCAGTTCAAAAGGGCACTGTTAGTATTTTTTGCCGACTTCAATTAACGTGAGATTTCAGAGGCCCCTCTGATCACATTTCATCTGTCACAAGTCAGGAACAAAACAGACAGGTTCCAGTTGAGAGGAGGAAGGAGAAGGAGTTTATTGCAAACAACAACCAAACAAGACAGTTAGGGCTGTGCCCAGCAAAGGGTGCACTGGGGGTGCGCAGCGGCGTCGGCGCTCCCGTGGGCCCAGTGCCTGGGCGCCTCCGGCCCCTTCTCGTCAATAGTCCTCCCCTCCCCCACAAGATGTAAGTGCAATAACTTACTTTAAAAGGCAAGAATGTTTCTTTTAATATTTTGCTATAATGTAGTTACATGATGGTATAGGCAGTAAAACTTTATGGAACTGACCTCATTTTTTGTACATTTTTTTCTGAAATTTTAATGTCTTTTTAATATATATTTTTAATATTCCACCCCAGGCCATTAAGCTAAAGGAAAAGTTGCGTCTACACAGGGTTACGGTATCTTACAAGGAGAACAGTCAGTATTGATTGAGGTTCATGTTCCGTCTAGCACTCAGCTCTTTTCAACCACTGCACACCAAACAGACTATTAGACGTTGAAAACTGTCTTTCAAAATCAGTAGTATAAAGGCCTAGCTCTATGTATGTAAGTCAAGGGGGGAGAAGGGACAGGGCAAGGTCAGGTAATATTTTGTTCAACTTTCCTCCCTCCGGCATCCTTAAGGAAGTCAAGGGGGCTCTGTGTGACTTTGAGAAGCAGGGTTTTGTTGTCTTCCCATTTTTCTCTTTAATGGTCATGGATTATTATCCTGGGGACCCGTTTGCCAGCCATCCTCACCCCTGCTAGGCCTGTTTGCTTTCGCACCTGATGGTCAGGACCATCAAGCAGACCAGAAGCCCCAGAGTGTCCAGCCCAGCAAGAGAATGGCTGCGAAAGTAGGATATGTGGTCGTTTTTGTGGAAGAGTGCCTCCTGCCGACCCAGCCCAACTGAGGGCAGAGGGGACACTAGAGCTGGGCCCAGCATGGCCGCAGCCCCACCTCACAATGGCTACCCCACCCCCTTGCAGTGTCTTTGAACTAACCTGGCGACCGTGCTCCCCAAAGCTGGAGGCACGGTGGTAAGAGCTGAGAATCAAGTATAGTTGAAAGAATTCAAGGAAAGGTACAAAGCCCACGTCCTCCAAGTACCTTTGAAGACTTGGGGACCAGCCTCTCTGTGTGTCCCCAGAGCCCTCGTCTCCCACGCCCTGGGAGCAGCGAGGCATCTGAGGGCGGTAGCAGCACCTCAGTGTCCAGCCTTGGCCGCTGAGACTGGTCCCAGCGGGGATCAGAGGCTGTCAGTGTTGGGAGGCTGCTCGTGGGTCTGCCAGCCACCCATCACTTCCGGTTTGCCTTGCCATCTCTGCTGAGATCTTAGGCAAATAGCAAAGAAACCCCACCTCTTTTAGCTTATTGGCTTAGCAGTGACCCAGAGTGGGTCCATTCTCCTCCGCACCTGCCTTCATGAGACCTCGCTCCTGAGGACGCCGCCAGCCCCAGGGAGCCACCCGAGCTTGCTGAGTCACCACAGGAGGTGTGCTTCAGGCACCTCCTGCACTTGCAGCCTGAGGAGGCAGGAGGCCCGGGCCCAGCCTCCTGACCGGGGAGCACTGCGTCCCTCTGGCCACCAGAACCTGGGCGGCCTGTCAGGCCGCTGGCTCAGGTGAAACGCAGCTCAGGGTGGTCACGTCCCCACCGCAGGCCAAGGATTTTTCCTCTCTATCATGAAGGGACTGGGCTAACTACAGGGTTTCTAGTCCCTCCCAGCTTAGTGATTCTGTGATTCTTAGAGTGTCAGGCAGGCCAGGGGCTGGGACACGGTGGGGACAGGCCTGGGAGTGGGCAGCTACCTGTGGGGAGGTGCCCAGGAGTGTTTTCCACTGACATTTTAATTCTAAATACTTGGCTATGTTGGTTCGACAGGCAGGCAGGCAGAGCCAAGAGCCTTCTTCCATTGGAAGCTTTTTCTTCTCAAGCTTTGGGCTGAATTTTGCCTGACTTAGGTCTGGCCCAGGCGGAAAGCAGATACCTAGAGGAACTGATCACCAGAGGTCCCTTCCAGAAGATTCCACTTAGAGCCTTCTCTCTCCCTTCCCTCATCCTCGGGGGCTGTTTTAGTTCTTTCTCTTTGTTGGATTCTCTCCCAGATGAGAATATATACCTCTGGCGAAAGTTCCTTCCCAGCCAGCAGTACATTTAAGGAAGAACTGGGGAGCCATCTCCAGTCCGAAGCAATTTCTTCCTTCCCTTCCCTAGACTTTGGGCGTCTGAGTGGTTTCAGCCACCTCAGGACTGGAATAGGCTTCCTAAAGAGTCATTCCAAGATCCTCAAACATATGAAACACTAAAGCCAAGCCTTCAAGAGCATTTAATTCAATGTCCAAGACCCTTTTCACTTCTGGAAGATCAACTTTTGAGCTACGGTTCACGAAGAGGTCTGACTCTTAAGGGTGGTCAAAGCCAGCTCCTTCCCCAGTCTTGCTTCTGGAGCACATGAGAACATGAGGCAGAGATGGGACTGTGATGTCCCCCAAAACCTAAGCAGCTCAAGAGGGAGGGTCTCACTCCTCTCGGCCCACCCAAGATGCTGTCCTGCGTCCAGGGCCCTGGGCCTGGTGGCCCGGCCCCCCCTCACTGGCAGGATCGGGAGAGAAGGTAGAAAGGGCAAGCACTTCTCCCCAGGGGTGGCCTGCTGGAGGGGCCTCCCAGGGCTCTGAAAGGCCTGCCTTGGACGACTGGTACCCTGTCCCTGAGCTTAGGTGACAGCTGGGCCCTGGTGCCAAAACTCAAGCTGCAGGCCTCAAGTCAGGCAGATGCGGAGTTCCCCTCAGAAGGAGAACTCTTCCTGCAGGCAGAGAAATCTGCTTCCAGAGGGCATCCTGGCCCCTGTATCTGGGACAGAGCAAGTGGCTCCGAGGTGCTCAGCCTCACAAGCCCTTCCAGAGGCCAGAAAGAGGAGCTGGGCTCCCCCATCCCCTAGGGCAGAAGTGCAAGGGCAGGTGCCTAGAGGATCCCGGAGACCCGCCCGCATGGAAGGCTCTGGGCAGGTACGGCAGGCTGATGGGGGATGGCCACCTGAGGCCGCAGGGGGCCAACCCGCCTGCCTGGAGGCCTAGTGAGCGTGCACTCATCCTCTGGTGGATCCCGCGCACTGCTCCTGACCCTCTGCCTCTGTGACCCCAGACCCTAGTTGGTGTGTCCGAGGTGTAAGTCCTTCCACACCAGAACACAGCTCAGCAGCCCCAGCGAGTGACCAGGCTCAGAGAGGGAAAAAGCGTCTCCAGACCCTCCTGGAGGGGCTGAGCGGACGGATTAAAAAGCTACCCAGATCTGCCCGCCATCACTGCCACCCTGCCCGTGGCGGGACGTCAAGCAGCCAGAGAGCGGATGTGTGTGCGCGAGCCCCTGCCCCACCCGGACACCTCCTGGCAGCCCTCCTCCTCTGCTAGAAGCTTTCTCCCAGCGCCGGGGTCCCGTGGGTGGTCTGCATCCTCCCCTGCAGCATTCACTCAGATCCAGAGTCTCCGGGTGGGTGAGAGTGGGGACGCATCCCCCAGGAGCCAGCATTGCTGGGAGACAGCAGGATCCTTCAGCTCCAGCTCCTCTGCTCTCTGCCCAGTTCCTCTGGGTGTGTCCAGCACAGGAGACAGCAGGATGGGGTGCCTCACCATCCAGGGTGAAGGCAAGGCAGGTGCCGTGGGTCCAAGAGGTTGGATTCCGTGGGCTTTTAGGAAGTGAAAAGAAGTTGGGAAGGCAGGAGGCCATCTCTGCGGGGCAGCCTGTTCTTTGGACACAGTCACCGGCCTGGTGACCAGGGGACCACACAGCAGAGGGAAGGACGGACATGACTGCACTGTTGCCACTGCTGGGGCTGGGTGGGAACCTGTCCTTGACTCAACGGTCAAACCGGGCAGGGCGGAGGAGGAAGAGCCGGGAGGAAGGGTCTTCAGCTTACAAAGGATGCAAAGCTGCAAAACATGGCTACCTGGCTTCCTCCACTGGCTCCGGCCAGGAGCAGGGGCTCGGCCCCAGTGCCTGCTGCCTCCTCCTTCCCAGCAGTCGGTGGGGCCTCTGACTTGGGGGGGCTGAAAGTGCTGAGGGTCAGGCCCCGGCCCAGGCCAGGTTCCTAAGAGGAGAGTCGAGTGGGGGGCTGGGGGCCTGGGAAGCATGGGCGTGGCCAGTGCCCCGAGGTGGGGGAGGGTGCGGGGATGGGACAGGAGGTGCCCTGTCATGTGGCCCAGGAGATGGCCGCGCTGTGCTCCTTGGCCTTCATGCGTAGGGCCGCGATGCTCGACGTCTTGCGGTCCGGCTCGCCGTTGAGCTCGTAGCCGTTGAGGCCTGGGCTGAGGCCCGCTGCTCCAAACAGGCCACCCATGTGCGTCTGGCCCACGTGACTGCCAGCCCCGGCGACACTCAGGAAGTCGGTGACGCCACTGGCCCCGGAGCCAGGAGGGTGGGCGTGAGGGGACATGCAGGCAGGCACCGGGTCACAGGGGACCACACATGCTGGCACTGGCGAGGCAGCCCCGTTGTTGCCAATCCAGGACGGGTTCTGAATCTGGGGAGAGGGGAGGCAGAGATGTCACTGGCTGGCTGGGGCCGGGGCAGGGGATGCACACCAGAATGACCTCTCCTCGCTCACAAGCCCACCCTGGTGATGAAACTATTCTTGAGTGCTTACTTGGGAGCCTCTCAAAACCTTTATGCCATCCAGACCCCTAGGAGGGTTTGGGTTTTAAGCTCTGTCTCCTCTGTTCCCAGGGCCAGGCCAGCAGCAGCTGGGAATTCCGTTTTAAGGACTGAACTTCAAACTTCACCAACGGTCCATTCACAGGCCTGTCCTGGGGGCACCACCCCCTAGCTGAGGTCAGCCGCTGACTTTGGTCACAGATGCAGACTTTGTCTCTCCATCTGTGGATGCCATTAGGGTCAGAGCCTGTGTCTCACTCACCTCTGGCTCCTCCCCAGGCCTGGCGCATCCTAGGTACTTGATAAATGGCAGCTGAGGCCAACTCAGAGAGCCCTGGCAATGGGGGCACGAGCTGTGTGCTTGCAGGTTGCGGTGTGCAGGAAGGGGGTGGGGGGAGTGGGGCCTGCATTCTCTCAGAAGTCAAGGACGGTGGCGGACGTCCCAGAGCTGGTGCCCTAGAGGCTTCAGAATGAGCTCAGGGACTGAAAGGGCTGCCTTAGGAGGTGGTGAGCGCGGATGAGTGGCTGGATGGAGCAGCTGGGTGCCCACCTGCGGGGGCTGGGTGTGCCGTGAGGTGGGGGGTGTGGAAGATGCTCTGGCAGTGGGGTGAGGGTTGAACTGAACATCTGATCTTCTATCTGTGCAGCTGTAATCCTGCCCCCCTCCCCAACTGCCACCTCTGGACTCCATTTTCCCCTCAGCATTTATGGAGAGGTAGAGCTGGGGACTCAGCCAAAAACGCGTCTCCTCAGGTGTCCTGGGTGGAGGGCAGGGTGAGCAGGATGAGCTCTGAGGAGGAGCTAGTGCATCTCTCTCAGCTACGCCCATGGGCTTCTCAGTGGCCCGCAAGCAGCTTTTGCTGGCCCTCACCGCCACCTACCCCCATCCCCAGTGTTTGGAGTGCACTCAGGGAAGGCACTTAAAAGCACTGAGGAGGGAGCTGTATTCCCAGATCCCACGGGGCCTGCAAGGACGACGAGAACTGCTTGCAGATTAGCCTGGTCACAGTCCTCCCCTCGGTCCCCGTGAGGAGGAGTGGGTTGGCCATCCCCCACCCCCTCTCTCAAGAGACCTGGGCCGCGTGATGTGTGGCGCTGCCCTGAGAGGGATGAGCACGCCCCGTGTTGTTTCTCTCCCTCCAGTGTGTGAGCTCAGGCAGCAGAGATCCAGGCCAAGGAGTGGGGGTTGGAGGTCCAACCTCCAGGGCACAGAGGGAGGCTGGGTTGGGGGAGGGAGAGAAGGGAGAGAGATGGAAGGATGTGGTGGGAGCTGATGCAGACGCTGTGTGTGCATGAGACACCCCCATTCCCCAGCCTCACCTCTGAGCCTGACCCTTGATCCCTTCCATGTGAATCCTGAGAGGGAGAGGGGCAGAGCTGGTCCTAGTGGGGTGCCCAGGGCCCATGTGTTAGCATGGCCCAGAGACAGCAAGAAGAAAAGGAGACTCAGGAAGGCCTGTGCACACTGCCACTGCGTGGCATGGCCGGGCTTGGAGCTGCAGGCAGAGGCCACGCCCCAGCAAGGTCTGAGAGGGAGGAAGTGGGTGCTACTGCCGCATAGGTCGAGGGGTGTCTGGAGTGGACTTGACCAAAAATCCACCTCTCCAGTGTCCTGGGTGCCTGAGGTTATCACAGTACTCCTCGTCCCTTTGCATCCCACTGAGGACTCAAATGCCACTAGAAGGGGGACCAGCTGACAGCCATGGAGGAAGATGCTGTGGAAGATGGGAGGGGAAGGTGGGACAGACGCCCGGGAGGGCTCAGAACATGCAAAGCAACCTCTCTAAAGCCATATAACTCACAAAGCACTTCTGCACAATCTAATTTAGCACTTTCAACAACCTCATAAAAGGTCTGGGGCAGGTGCTTTTATAATGCCCAATTTCCAGGTGAAGAAACCGAGGCTCAGAGCGCCTGTGACTTGCCTGAAGGCAGAAAGATCTGGAGCTGAGATGACAGCCTAAGTCCTGGGTCTCAGAATTCCACATTCACTCCAGCCTTGCCTCAAGTCCTCCAGATTTCTAGACCCCTCTCTCCTAGGAAACACTCTGGGTGGCTCCCAGTGGCCTGCAGACTCCCTGGCCTTCTGCATTCCTTGGTTTGGATGCCCAGAGCAAAAGTGGCCAAGGCGGCAGAAGAAAATGCAGTTCTCACCACCCCAACCTTCCCTTCTCTAAAGTCCGGCCACGCCTGGGTTAACACTCACGCTGGACAGAAAGAGCTCTGGGCCTCCCACATTCTGAATGAACAGGCACCTGCCTGGAATGGGCCTGAAGGGCGACTCAGAGCCCTGAGTCCTCTCTCCGGGGATGGTACCCCTTCTCAGGGTGTGAGGGCCTGGGGGCCAGAGCAGGGCTGGGGGCAGGCACTCACCTGGGCGTAGTTCTCTGCTCGGGTGAGAAGGGGCAGCTCATAGGCCGTGGAGAAGTGGGTTCGAACCTGCTGCATCTGCCCAAAGCGCTCCCTCTTCCTCCACTTGGCCCGCCGGTTCTGGAACCAGACCTGCAGGACAGAGCAGTGGCCACGGGGTCAGGCCCGGAGCTGGAGGCCCCGCCCCACCTTGTAGCGTGCGGTAGGGTCTCCTGGTATGTCTGCCTTTGTTTTTATCCTCAAGAGTTTACAATCTAGAGTGATCTAGAGTCAGGAAGGCAGAGAATCAGGAAAGCGGTTTACACCAACTATCTGTGGGCGTGATCTTGGGCCAGTGACTTCGTTTTCCTAAGCTTCAGAATCTAGGGCACAAAACACGTCACTGATCATCTTAGTGGCCATCTAACCAGCCCCAACATGGTGTGGCTGAACCTGCTGGGGCCACAGACTCCTGGGGAGAATTGGGTAAAGGCTGTTGAAAGCTCCTCTGGAAAACCATTCTCCTAGGTGATTACGCGCGTGCTGTTTTGCCATCATTTTCCAAAAGGTCTATGACTTCCTGGGACTTCTCAGCCCAGATTCAGAATTCCCACTTCCTGAATCCTCTGTGCAGCCTTTTGTGGGAAACAGTCTCCCCACTCAGAACCTACTATGTTAAAGATTCTCTGGGAGATGGAGGTTCAGCCGGCAACAGAGGCAGCTGGGGACGGCTTCGTGGAGGGAGCACCGGGCACTGCGCCCCGAGTGCTAGCTGGAAGGGCGGACGTCCAGGCGGAGTTTAGGAAAAGTGGGTCATGTTCAGAGACCTCAGGAGGCCACACGTCAGGTGGAGGAGTGATGGGAGAGAAACAATCGTGGAAGTGGGAACCAGATCAGGGAAGACCTCAAATGCCAGGTGGAGGGGCTTGTGGCGGTGCCATGAAGAGAGGCAGCTGCTGCAAAGTCTCAGGCCCAAGGGGAGGGGTGGAGGCCCTCCTGTCACTGAGCATGGGCGATGGGGCGCCTGACTGGGGGCCTCATGGAAGGGAGGGGTCTGAGTCAGGTGTGTGAGCAGGGGTCTTTGGCAGTGGGGTGGGTCCTTTTCCTTTGCAGGTGTGTTTCTGTCAGGCTGAGAACTTTCTCGAGGCTCACGTGTCTGCCACCCCTGCCAGTGACTTGGGATCTGGAAAGGGGGTGATGGGGGCAGGAGAGGGTGGGAGAGATGGAGTGAGGGGGCTCAGCTTCCAGGTCAGATATGGCTTCAAGCTCAAAGGCCGACCTCAGAGCTCCCTAGAGGGAGATTTCTGTCAGCTCCATGTGCACCTGCTGGCTGACTCAGGCGCATGTGGATACACCCCAAATAGTACACTGCCCGCAGCCTGGCTGAGAGCACGGAGCTTCCTTGGAGGAGGGAGAAGGAGCTGGGCTTGAGGCCTGGACAGGTTCCCTGCCAGGCAGCACAGAGGCTGCTCGGCCCACCTGAGCTTCTGATGCAGCTGGGGCGCACAGTGCCAGTGGGAGCACTTGGCATTACCACTGGCCTCAGTTTCTGCATCTCGAAAATAGGGACAATATCTGTGCTGATGGCAAGAGCAGCAGGTGAGATGAGAAATGCAGTCACAGAGTTTTTAGGGTACTTCACATTTGTTTATTTACAGGTCCTGACCTTTCTTTCTGTCTTTCATTAGAAGAAAGAAGTCAGAAAAGAAGAGGTACCTTTTTGTGGCTCATATTTGTGTGGGGAGGGTGGGGGTGAGATGGAAGTACAGGGCTGCATTTCAACCCAGTGTACAAACATGAGACACACACACACACACACACACACACACACACACACGGTGCTGCTGGCATTTCTCTCAGCATCGCTTTGTTTCCTCATCCTGACTCTGCTGCAGGAGAAACACTCTCCTATGTCCCCCCTGGAGCTGGCCCTCTCCTGGGCTGGGGGTCTCAGCCCCTGCCCCAGAGCCTCCAGAGGCCCCTTTTCCTCCCGGTACCCTTGGGGTCTGGGTCCAGGCCGCCCTCTGGGAGCTCAGGGCGAATCAGGCCTCCTCTCTGCACCACTGAAATGGGATCCCCCTTTAT